AAACAGTAACAATTAACTATACTCATAACCCTAGAAGAAGCCTAATGATAAAGCTAAACTGAAAACTAACACTAATTCTAACCAAACCCTGATGGAACCCTACTCTTAGGATAGATCTCACTCATCCTACCACTAACCATAACCCTAACTCAAAGTCTTTCCTAAACTCCAGTGAAACTATACCCTGATACCTAGTCATAGTCCTATCTCTAGCCTTAAACCTAAGCCTAACACTAACCTAAATCCTATCTTTGGTGTAATCTTAGGCTTAGACTTAGCCCTAAACTTAATGCTGATCTTAACTGTAAACATAACCCTAAGACTGGTGGATTCATAACACTAAAACTAATGGTAGCCCTAACCATAACTCTAACCCTAGAGGAACGATAATGCTAACCCTGAAACTAATCTAAAACCTACCCTAACTAGAACACTGGTTGAATGCTAGCCTTAGTAAAAGGCCTAGTCACACCCTGAATCTAAGTATAACACTATCTCTCTGGATCCCTAGCCATAATCCAAACCATTGCCACAAACTCAGGTCTAACATTAATCTTACCTTAACAATGAACCTAAACATAAACTTATGCCTGGGAGTCCTACCTCAAGTCCTAATGATAATGCTAACCCTAAAATTAACGCTAGTTGAACCCTACCCTATCACTGGCCTTAGGCCTAAACCTGACAATAAGTAATTCCTAACCCTAAGCCTGGTAGAAACCTAGCCCTAACTCTGAAATTAATCCTAACTTTAGCTCTGACACTAAGCAGAAGCCAAACATAGCCCTAGACTTAGCACAAGCCCTTGCCAAACTCTATCACTTGCCCTAAAATTAATTCTGGTAGAACACCGGCCATACTTCTACCTAAAGCCCCATGATTAACCATTGGCATAACCCAGCACATAAATCTAACCCTACACTAATCATAAAGATTATGCTGATGGACCCTTAAAACTAACCATAATTAACCCTAAAACTGTTGGAACCTTAGCCTTACAGCTAACCTAGCCTTAACAATAACCCTAACACTAAATTTAAACCTCCCCATAACCCTAAACATACCGCTAAATCTACAGTAGCCCTAAGACTCTCGAAACTTGTTAGAATGCCAATCTTAAACCTAATCCTAAACCTGTTGGAAACTAAACAAAAAACTTAACATTAAGTCTAATCCTAAAGTTAACTGTAATGTTAACTCTGGAGGAACTGGAGCCCTAGCCACAGCTCTAATCCTAAACTTAGTACTAGCCCTTGCCCTAACCCTAACCTTATCTGTAACCCTGGTGCAAATCTAAGTCTAACACTAACCCTACCATAAAACAAATCCTAACATTAACTTTGGTTGAATATCAGCCCTAGCACTTGCCAGTGATCTCATCCAAGAAATAGTACTATCCATTGCCCTAACTTTATCCCTGTCCCTAAAAAAACCATAACACAATGGTGAAACCTTAAGTCTTATACTATCACTAACTGTAATACTAACTCTGGTAGAAAACTAGTCCTAGCCCTAGCTCTCACCTTACCTTAGCTTTTCAACGGATCCGAAACCTTAGGAAGACCCTAAACCTAATCCTAATCCTAACAATTACCCCAAAATAACCATAGAGGGACACGAAATCTAGCATTAACATCAGTAGAAAGTTACCTCTAGAAGTGGCTCAAGTAATAGCTCTAGCTCAATATCTTAATAGAGATTTAGCCCTAAAACTAACCAAACCTAAACGCTAAACCTAAGCCTAAATGAACCCAAGGGGAATGCTAACCTTAGATCTAGAGATAGGCTAAGTTGTAACACTACCCACAGCCTAACAGAAACCTAGGTGGAAATTTAGCAATACTCTTAATCCTAACTCTGGTGGAAGACTCCACCTAAATTTAACCCTAACCATAACCCTAACCCTAACCCTAACCCTAACCCTAACCCTAACCCTAACCTTAACCCTAGCCCTAACCCTAACCCTAACCCTAAAGGTGGCAGAACCCTGTACTACCTTCAGCCTTGGCACTACCTCAACTTCAGCCCCAACCCTAAATCAAGCAGTAAACCATACCCTAAGTTGTGGAATCACAGACCTAACTCTAGGGCTATTCCTACCCCTAATCATGTCATTAAACATAATACTAACCTGAAAATGAAACTAACCTTAATCCTTGTGGAACCCTAGACCTAGTCCAACATCCAGCTCAAGCCCTTATACCTAACATTAGCCTAATGTTAGGAGAGCCTAACATCTAGGAGATATCTCCTAATCTCTAGGAGAGCCTAACATCTAGGAGATATCTCCTAATCTCTAGGAGAGCCGAAAGCCTAGACCTAGACCGAGCCTTATACCTAACATTAACCTTAAAGTAACCTAAAGTCTTAAAACTAACCCTGGTGGGGAGCTGAAACTAACACTAAACAAAACCGTAAAACAGGGGGTAAATAAGTCTTAACCCTCCTCCTAACCCTAGCCCAAGATATAGACCTTGTCCTAGCCCCAGACGTGCCCTAACCTCAACCCTAACCTGTACAATGTCCTATTACTAACCTGTGGAATCATAACCCTAAAGTAACACTAACCCTAAAACACACCTAATCCAACCCTAACCTTTAATTTAACCTTAAACTTGGACCTATCCCCAGGGCGAGATGGAGCTCTAGCTCTAACACTCTCTATAAATCATCCATCACCTTAAGCTTATGCATAACCATAGCCTTAGCCCTAGCCCTACCTCAAACGCTACTTTTAACCCTAGACTTAGACAGCTGAAAGTTTAGCTCTAGAATGAACTTAAGAATACCCCTTACCCAAAAATAGCCATAATTTAAACGTAACCCTAAACCTAACCTTGACCCTAAACCTAAACCTAGTCCTGAACTCAGAAAAACCAAAGCCCTAACCCTAACGTCAACCTAGAAAAAGCCCTAGCCGTAGCCCATGATTTAGTTCTAGACATCACTCTAAATGTAACCCTAACCCTAACCATAAACATAACCATAAAATTAACTTAAATGTAATTCATTCTTTATTATAACACTAACCCTAAACCTAACACTAACCTTAAAGCTAACACAAGTTGAAGACTCAACCCTAGTAAATATACCAGCCCTAATTATACTCCTAATTCACAAGTTAAACCTAGTACTAACCCTAACAATAGCCCTAAACCTAACCCTGATGGAAAAGTAGTTCTAGTCCTAACACTAATCCTAACTCCAACTCTAATGCTGAACCTAACCCTAAACCTAAAACTACCTCTAATATGAAACATAACCACATCCTAACCCTAACCCTACACTAGTGGAGGCTACACCTAACCCTAAAACTTTTGGAACCACACCTAATCCTTGTCCTAGCCTTCTCTCTCACTCTACCCGGATTCCTAGGCCTAAAAATAACACTGGTAAGAAAATTACATGTGACCATAAAAGTAATCCTAACGATGGTGAAACACTAGTCTTACCCTAAAACTACCCCTGGACATATGCCTATCCCTATCTCTAGACCAATCACTAACCCTATTAACCTAATCATAACCCTAGCCCTAACCCTAACCCTAAATAGCACTGAACCCTAGCTATACCTCTAGCCATAGTCCTAAGGATGGACACACAGGGTGAGGAATTGTTAGAATTTATATCAAGATGTTCCGCCAAAGCCTCATGCATCCATAGGTGGGGTTTTTCAGAGGTGGCTGGATCTATGATAGTGGTGGTGAACTATGGTATATGTGTTGTTTTGCTTTTCGGACAAAAAATGTTAATGTATGAGTTACTTTTTCTAAATTAAAAACTCAGTATTTGGATTTCATTACAGTGTACCTTCCAGGGTACTTTCCAATAACTAAATGGGTTTTAGATTGCAGTTTGTGCACTTATTTCTTAAAGGGTTGGCATTACTAATCTCCAGTGTCTTACTGGAAGTAAGTGTGTGTAGTACTGGATTTGTCCACTAATTGGTTTGTCATAATTCTGGGTGTGAATAATTGGAAGGCCCAACCTGGGTGCGGGTGGCACCAGACAAAAGGTTTGTAGCCTGGAGGGACAAAGGCAAAGGCAGGTTTGCTGTTGCTGCTGCTGCTGCTACTACTACTAGTAGTACTACTACATTTGGGGCTCGCTGCCTTCCTGCCTTCCTGCCTGCTCTGTTTCTCCTCTCTAATTCCACTCTACCATCCCATGCTGGCCTTGGAGACAGCTGACTCTGGACTGAAACCTCCTCAAACTGTGACCTGATATAAACATTTTCTCTCTTAACTTCTTGCTGTTGGGTATTTTGACTCAGCAGTAGTAAAACTAACTAAGAGAAGGGTGCAGGTGGCTAGCTGGGGAAGTACAACATAGGCAGTTGGCTGCCCTGACCCCTCAGCCTTGGGAGTGCTGCCCCAGTAGGAGACATTCACTTGCTTTCAGCCATGATTGGAGCCACCAGCAGAGTCAGAGTCCTGTTTAGAAAGAAATATACGAGAGGGTAATTCAACTTCCCCAAAGAATAACCCAGGGGAAAGGTGAGCCAAACTGACTCTGACAAACTTCCATCTCCCCAGACCTCAGGGAAAAGCCTCATTGTGACCTCCCCATCCCAGGCCCCAGGAGGAACACATCACTCTAGGGACCAAGGTGCCCAAAGAGAGGAAAAGAGACTCTGTAGAGGGCACAGTTCTTTGGGAAGGAGAATGGGGCCAGCATAGGGGAAGACAGTAGGCAAAAGGAGAAAGGCACAAACCTGAAGTGATGCCACTAGTGGGAGCAGCTCCTGGGGAAGGGACACCACCAGGTGACAGGAACAACTGGTCTTTGTGAGCCTGTCATAGAAGAAAGCAGGTTTAAGGGGGCTAAGAGACAAAGGAGACACTTAAGTGCTACAGGCACCAAGGGCAGTGCTGCTGCAGTCAGAAGACATCACACACGCTGGAGACACTGGGAGTGAGGATGAGGCTGGCCCAGGCTCCAGGCAACAGGCCCGCATTTCAGATGTGCACAGCTCAAATCAAGGGCCGACAGCCTCCTACCTGAATCCAAATGAACTTGCTCTCCCTGCAGCTCAGCAAAAGACTGTCGGGGTTCTCACCTGGGGCAGCCACAGCAGGCAGCAGGAGGTGCACAGAAGTGAAGGAGGCACTGTCCCTCCAGGGAGCCACTCTGTGCTGCACTCACCCTGACCCTCCCCTTCATTTTAAAAACCAGACTCCCTAGTAAGGGATCCCTGGGACACAAGGGCTGCAGCTAAAAATCACTTTTGAAAGACACTGAAGCCCAGAGGAGAAAGTGATTTTTCTGATGTCACCCAGTAAGCTAATGGCAAAGAGGATTTAAAACAGCTCCTAATCCTGGTGCCTGCGGCTCTCGTTGCACACCTTGGGGAGCTTTCAGAGAGCCTGAAGATGAGTAGCTCTTCTCATTGGCCTGGTTTATAGTGAGGCTAAGGAAAATCAAATAGCAACTACCATCTACAGAAGGCTTATACTAGGCCCTAGTGAAACGACATAAAAGCATTTCACTTACCATACACAAGTGTACATAAATTCTCTCTCTCTTTCTCTGTCTCTCTCTGTCTCTCTCCCCCTCTGCCTCTCTCTCTCTCTCTCTCTCTCTCTCTCTCTCTCTCTCTCCCCTCTCTCTCTCTCCCTCTCTCTTTCTTCCTCCCTCCCTTCCTTCCTCTTTTTTTTTTTGTTCTGCACTGTTGGAGATCAAATGGAGGGCTTGACACAGCTTATAAAGCACCCAACCACTGAACTATAACACCCATACCTGTCAAATGCAGAATTCTAAACCAGTAACTGACACTTTCCTCATCTGAACCTTGACCCTCTGCTGCCATCTATCCCATCATTCCCAGCAGCCTGACCACCCAAGCCTCACTTATGCGGGTGGGTGACAATCACCAGCAGTGGTGGTCCCAGGGCGATTGATATTTTTAATCTTTTTCTTCCTTCACACTCCTACAAGATCACCAAGGCGTTCTTTATTTGAAACACTCTCAGCTGTAGAAAGGAAAAGCATGATATTCATGAAAATGACAGTCCCCTGTATTCACATCCTCCTACATAGACTTTACAAAATACTTACAAGCTGTCATCTGCTGCAATGCCACCCACAACCCTATAAGGTATTGTAATGATAAGTTAATGGCTGAGGAAATGACCTGTTAATGTGGCTTACGAAGACAAGAAAAAACACAGGCAGATAGCCAGTTGGTGCCCGCCTTTTAATCCTACCTATCAGGGATGTTGGGACAAGAGGATCATAACATTGATGCTATCTTGGGAAAAACAAAAATCAATAAAAAGATATCTCAAAAAAAGGACAACGAGAATATTAAAGGACTAAAGATGTAGCTCAGTGCTACCTGGACTCAGTCTTCTGTACTAAAATCAATTAATCAAAGGCAATGAGTGGTCTAAAGTGTAGCTCAGTGATAGAGCGCTTTCCAGCATGCCCCAGGCCTTGAGCTAAAGCCCAGGACCACACACACACACACACACACACACACACACACACACACACACACACACACCACATCCAGGAGAAGCAACAGTGGAAGGCAAATTCAATCTTCTAACTCGCAGCTCTGAGGTTTGCCATAAATCAGCCATTTCCAGGGGACAAAGCCAGAAGCAGAGATGGAAAAGTAAACATTAAATAGAGGGGAACTGTGCATTAGGTGGTGTAGAAACCAGACATCTGGGCACTCTCTTACCCTTGGGATAGAGCAATACTGCTACTTCTCAAACTTCTATCAAGTTACCCTAATGGGAGAAGCACTGAGACACAACCCTAGAAACCTGAGAGCTAATAGAGAACAGGCCAAGTGTTATTTCAGAAAGAAATCAAATACTGTCTACAAATTTATGCAACTGTCATCCTTAAGTACATTAAATGCCTCATCTCTCCCAAGAGAATCAAGCCAGAACTGGTGCTCCAGAAAATAGCTGGGCACAGTGGCGCATGTCAGGACTTGGGAGGCTGAGATGGGAGGATGGTGAATGGAGGCCTACCTGGGCTACAGAGCAAGACCTCACCTGGAAAAAAAAAATTTTTTTTAAAGGCCTCGTGTTAATCCTGTCATACTCAGCTTCCTAGCTGGAACTGATGTGGAAAAGATTTACACTGTGAAATTGAGTTTCCCGGGATCTGTTCTGCATTAGACAAGCACATCTCACTCCAAGGCGCTTGAGCAAAGGGCATTTTGGTCCCAGAGTCAAAGGGAATTCACCTGTGAAGTGAAGAACTTAGAA